ATTACTAGAATTTGATGTTTCAGAAGTGGAAGTTGTTGTACATATACAAGTTCTCCCATGCCTTAATAATTGAGATTCATTTAAATTGTACATTTCAAATAAAAAAAATTATTAATTTCCTCTTTTTATTTCTAATTTTAGTTCTCATATTTTCACAATAAGATTCAAGTAAAACATTTAAACCATCTTTCCTAATCGTAGGATCTAATATTGTAGCTAAGAAATATAGAGGAGAAAGACTTTCTCAATATTTTTTAAATTTAACTTTGATTATTTCAATAATACTATGAACATTTAAATTACTTCTATATTTTGAAAAATATTCACTAATCATAAATTAATGATTAACTAAAATACAAAAAGTTAGGTAATAGACACCCAAAAATTCATTAGTTGTATCATAAAAAATTTGTAAAAGATCTTTTATATAAATTTCCATTTTCTAGTCATCATCAGTTATAAAACCATGTAGCATTTTCTCATTATAAAAATTAATAAGAATATCTTTGTATGAACTACAACTTTCTAACATAGAATAGGTGGAATTGCACCTATGTTGAACATCTAATACAATTTTTTTATTTTTAAACCATGTTTTGATATAAATCTTTAAATTGTTGTTTTCTTGTTTTGTTCTTACATACTACAATTTTTAACTTTAGAAACATGATGGAAAATAATATTTAAAGCATCTTGAACACATAAATTTAAAATGTGACATGCACATCTAATATGAAATATTTTACCATTTAAACATGGTTTTTTAATTGAGATTTTAAAATATTAATTGTTGAATAATTATAACTAGTATTATCAGAACTGATAGAAAAAAAAATTTATTTTCAATTCCATAAGTATGTAAAGTATTTAGGGAAAATTCCAAATCAACACCTTATACTTTAGGGATAGTCTTAATCAGTCGGGGAGGCCTGAGAGGCGGTGGTTTACCCTGTGGCGGATGTCAGCGDTTCGAGTCCGCTTATCTCCAGCTCGTGAACTTAGCCGATACAAADGTATATGATAGCACCAAATTTTTCCGATTCGGCAGTTCGATCTATGATTTATCATTTATGGACGTTGATAAGATCCTTCCATTTAGCAGCACCTTAGGATGGCATAGCCTTAAAGTTAACAGCGAGGTTCAAACTCCCAAAAGATGCAACGTTAAGTGATATGTAAAAGGACAAAAATGCCCTCCAAGTGTCATCTAATTTTCTTTACCTACCACTCCCACATAAACCAACTTAAACAAAACTTATCCAACTAAAAGGACTATATAAGGATGGAAGCATCCTTCAAATGATTATTGGTTCATAACTTTCAAATGAGAAGATGAAACTACTTTGGCATCCCCAATGGACAGTCCATCGAAACCTTCTCCCACACTTGGATTGCTCTCTCTCTCTCTCTCTCTCTCTCTCACTCTTTCTTTGTATACTTACAGATGTAGAAATCTAGTGGAAATGCCACTTTCGCGTTAGGAAACCATTACCTCAATGAACAAAAACCACCATTTTATTTAATTAATTAATTAATTAAGTATTTACCTTTAATTTAGAAATCCTGATTATTTGGTTGTCATATTACAAAGCACTGACCTATTGTTGTGTTTTGTTTTGTGCTCCTTATTTCTTATAACTATAGGTAAGATTATTGATCTTTTTCTTTTCTCTCCCTTACATTAATTTCCATCTTCCCATTTTTGCATTTCATTTCTTTCTATAGTCAATTATGTACACTGTATTCTATTTTTCCTTCATTTTTTTGCTGAATTTCATCGGTTTTAAGGTTTTAAGACTCGTTTTTTCTTTTTGAATTTTGTTATTTTTGCCATTATATAGATTGGAAATTTGATTCTTTTGGAGAAAGGAACAGGCCAGTGGATAGATAGAGATTCATTGATTGGTTGGTATATATATATATATATATATATATATATATATATATATATTATTAACAAGATGGAAATACCTGTGGACTGTATGTATGAGGATGGAAACAATGAATAGCTAGCCAAGGAATTTAAAGGCCATTGATTGAATCCTAGAATTAGTAGATATAATAAAAGGACTATACTCATATCTAAGCCTACTTAAGGCCGCATGAAATAGATCATCATTGGGTAGGGGCTAATCAATGGCAGCCAAGGAATTTACTATTGATCGTATAGGCTAAATATACTCAGTAGTAGATTTCAATCCTTTCTTCATTGTATTAAACTAGTACCTTAGGCTCAGTTTGGAAAGAGTACAAATATAAATACATATAAAATAATATAAAATACAAGGTTTTGTATTCTACATATTTGTATGGGAAAATCTATGATATGGAAAAGATATGGTATGGAAAGAGTTTTGATTAATCAAAACCTACCCGTGAATTTCTGATAAATAACACTTGATTCGCTACCAAGTTTATGATTCCAGTTGATTGGTCAGATTGTTTTTGGATATCATATCTTTTCCATATCATAGTTGAACCCTATTTGTATTTGTACTCCTTTCAAACTGAGCCTTAGTTGTACTCTTGCACAAGAGATAGATGCAGATGTGCATTAATTCAATTTATAAAACCCATTCCCATACCTTGTGTGATGAATTTGCACTCACAACATGACTCATCACTTATTCAATCAATGGGGCTAGCTATTATCCAAATCAAGATAATCTGATCTTGTTGGTTCCAAGGCATTCCTTGCTTATTTTAGTTTCTACCATTGAGTCATCCATAGTGGACTAAGTAGAATGCTTTGGGGGAGAAAGCAATGTTCGCTCAGCATATCCCATAAGGTTATGGGCATGAAAAGTTTGCATAAATTGGGCCCTCTAGTGAATGTAGTTCTTTCCATTCAATTTCATAGCAAAATAGTGTGCGATTTTTTACCTAATTAGAGAGTCACAAGACGTTGGTACCACATTCATTGGTTAAGTGTTGATGGAGGAGAAGATACACTAGAGTTTTCTACCATGACAGGATTTTTTGTACTCTGATACCAACTTAGAATAGAGATGTGGAGAGACTAATATGTCAACTATATTTCTAAATAGATCGTTGTACAAATATATATATATATATATATAATTTTCGGAGAACATAAATTTGAAATTTAAAATACAATAAATCTCTCAAATCACATTGATCTCCAATCTATAGCTTCCACATATATATGGACATGCATGATTCTGTCTCTTAATAACTGTTAATGGTGAGAAGTATGCATAATTAGGCCTAAGTCTAGTCATGATCTTGAGTCACACCAACCATCTTACAACCGTCTTAAACAATCTCAATTTAGATTCAGATTACTCAGAAACAAATCAAATCAAATCAAAATGGGAAATGGTACAGGTTTGAAAATCCTTCACACTAGTTCTACTTTCATTAATTCTTATACCTGCCCTTTAGTTCTAAAAATTTACTCTGGTTGTGGGCCAATTTTTTGAATCCCATACTGATTTTTTTATTTCTATTTTCTTATGAATGATGATTTGACTAAGTAGGTTTTCCTCCATGTGCTGAATAGAAATGAGCTTTATGAGTTGGATCCCAATGGACTTCCCAAACTTAGTTCTAGTTTTGCTCTTGTAGGTGACAGATGCAACATTTGACACATGGCTCTAGTTCTAGTTCTAGTTTTGCTCTTGTGGGGTTTATCACCAATTATTTCTCAAAATGATTTTAAATACTGTATTGCTTTTATTGATATTTTAGCAAGCGGTAAAATACAAAAACCTCCCTTGAAGTTTTTGACAATCAACAAAAACCTCTTTTCTGTCACCTTTTCAGACGGAAAACGTTATACTGATGCATCAGTTTTTTCAAAATACCCATTCTACCCTTTTATAAATTATTTTACATGCAAAATTATTAAAATAACCCTGTTTTAACTCGACAAAAAATGTTAGAAGATGATCATTAAAGGAGGTTTTTGTCAAATTAAAATAAGATTATTTCAATAAATTTGCATGTAAAATAATTTATAAAAGGGTAGAATGGGTATTTGAAAAAAACTGGTGCATTAGTCTAATACTTTCTGTCTAGAAAGATGATGGAAGGGAGGTTTTTGTTGAATTTCTTAAAAGTTCAGAGGAGGTATTTATTAAAATGAAACTATAGGAGAGGTTTCTATGATTGTCAAAAACTTCAGGGGAAAATTTTTTATTTTACCTTTTAGCAAATTCACTTGAATTTATCCTTTACATGCTAAGTCTGATGTATTATAGGCCTTCATTAATTTTAAAACCATGTTTGAGAAATTTCTAAACACTCCCATTAAGGCCTGTAAACTGATGGTGGAGGTCAGTTCAAGAATTTTTAACCACAAATGGTGTGGTGCACCAACTCTCCTGTCTACAGTGTATACACATCAGAACAAAACGACACTGTTGAACGACATCACAGAACTATTGTTGATATGGGCTTGACATTGTTAACCCATGCTTGTTCTAGGTTACAGATCACCATGGGAAATGCTTTTTCAAACCATACCTAATCTTTCTTGGCTAAAAGTTTTCGGTTGTGAATGTTTCCTGTGTTTTCAAGCCTACAATGATAGTGAATTTGAGTTTTGCTCAACTCCATGCATTTTCGGTTGCCTACACTGAGGTGAGGTATCTTTCTAATATGTCAATGTATATAGACATAATTATATGTCTTTGGATCTGCCCAATCTATTGATAACCCTACATGCAATGGGCTCTAAATCTGCATATTGAGTTCAGATCATTTAAAGGGTTGATTCTGAACCTGAATAAAACCCAAATCGATTATGTAATCCATATTATAATACATTTTAGACAGATTTGATGGATTTGCATATAAACTTGAATACAATGTAAAGGTGTTAAACAATATAAATAAAATTTGTATACCTAGTTACCTAGATATACATTAATGCATACCACACAGTACATACAGAAGGTGAGATTGGGCCGGGCCAAACTCAAAATGGGTCCATTCTAATATTCTTGGGCTACCTACTCTTGATTGACTACTCCCTTCAAACATTGTGGCTGCTGGTGTAAAATCCAGCAAAGAGAACAGCAGAACTTCTGCAATCCGCCCTTGAAAAGGACAACACGCACTTGTAATCCTGTACCTGGTCCTGTGTAAAACGACCAAAAGCTGTCGGTATCGCCGTCGCTCAAATCAAAAGGCAGGCAAAAACCCTTGCATTGGGTTTAGGGTTTTGCTCTTCTTCGGTTTCTTCTTTTGTCTCTGGTTAAGATTTAAGTCTTAAGATTCAGAGAGAGAGAGAGAGAGAGAGAGGCAAACCAAAAAAATGGCACAATCACTGGAATTGCTTCTGATTCAGTTCTTGATGCCAGACAACGATGCCCGAAGACAGGCTGAGGACCAGATAAAGCGACAGGCGAAGGACCCTCAAGTGATACCGGCGCTTGTTCACCACCTCCGAACGGCCAAAACCCCCAATGTCAGGCAGCTCTCTGCTGTCCTCCTCCGCAAGAAGATCACTGGACACTGGGCCAAGCTCTCTCCTCAGCTCAGGCAACTAGTTAAGTCTTCGCTCATTGAAAGCATCACCCTTGAGCATAGGTATCTCTCCTGTCTGTCCATTGATTGCTGATTGATTCAAGCCAATTGCTTCTTTACTCAATGCGGAATACGTAACTATTTTTATCTTTGGCCTATTAATTCGCGTAAAAGAGTTAAGGGTTAATTGTTGTTATGCTGTATTTGTCTTGATTGATAGATCCAGCTGTATGAGTAATTCTTATTTTGCTTACTCGTCGACACATGATAAGCTTACTAGTTTCACTTATCATAGTAACGTAGATTCTTTCTGACACAGATGTTGATATTGTATAATGTCACAGTTATAAAAGGCACGCGGAACTTTGATCTGTAGTTTGTCAAGATTTAATATTTTGTCTTTCTAGTAATCTGTTACTGTATCGTGGGTGGATCTATAAATGTTGGCTTGTAAAGAATCAGTCAATTTTTGAACAGGACTGTTGTATTGAATGACATGAATGTCCAATGGTTTTGCATTGATAAATTTTGTATTCTTACCAAATATATTTGGTTGTGATAGGTATGGGCACGAATTCCAAGACCGGAACTTGCACTTTTACAAACTTTGCTCTCATTTCGAATGAAACATGTCGGAAAGAAAACAAATTTGCTGTTATTTTCATTACAAAAACTATTCTTACCAAATGCCTGTAAAACTGAACTGAAGTGCAAATTTACTTCAGTTCAGTGTTTGCACTCCTACCAAAAACAGCCTAATATTGTTTCTATGCTCTGTGCTTATTTGGTGGGATTGTTAAATTTTCTTGAGTGAATTATTATAAAAAGTATCTTCCTGAGAAGATTACTGTTATCATCATTACTTTCTTACCCCATCTAATTTGGTTCATTATTATTTTTATTGAGTAAATTTGAAGAATTCTTGTCTTGCGGCATGTGACAGTTGAGTATTTGCTGAATTGGCATAATTGTTTTTTTTTTACTTTTCTCAGCCCACTTGTAAGGCGAGCTAGTGCAAATGTTGTGAGCATCATTGCTAAGTATGCTATCCCAGCAGGTGAATGGCCTGATTTGCTGCCCTTTTTGTTCCAATGCAGTCGGAGTGCGCAAGAAGACCATAGAGAAGTGAGTATACTGCTGTTAAAAGATGTTTGCTTTTCCAATCTTTAAAAACAGAGAGATCTGAAGTGAGGCACTATGATATTTTGATGCATGAGGCATGATGCTTAAGCCTATTTGGATGTTCTAATGTGACTTTGGCCTTTACAGGGGCAAGGTTCTAGACACTAGACCTGGTTAGTGACTTTTGTTCTCTCGCACAACACAGACATCCTGCCTATCTTGGATCTGTGGGTTTGAGCTCATGCCTCCTTGACCTTGTAACAAGGGATGCTGTACGACCAACTAAACTAAGATGTCATTTACATGCTTAAGACTTGAGATCTCATCATTTCAAGAGAAGCATAAATTCCAATGGGAAAGGTGTAGAACTATGTGAAAGAAAAGAAAAAAAAAAAACTATTTTGTTATATAAGAATGTGTCAATGAATTATTCATAATATAAACAATGACTACACGATAGAAAGAACTTTGTAACAAATCCTTACATGCTATTAGAAAGTTCTTAGTGCCAATCAAAACCTTAAGTGGGTGTCGAAAGCCCTATATGCAATTCAAAATATATGGGTAGAAGTCTTAGTATTGGACTTTTAATTCATGCTTGGGATGAGAACCCTACCTCAATTAATGTATAAAACGCATATTCTTGGCATAAGTCTCCTCCAGATGTGATGCATGTTCTTTATACTTTAGGCCTGAACCTCAGGTTGTTTTCTTTAAGCCTGACCTACCTTTTAAAACGTTTGTGCTTTCTTTATTCGTTTATTTTTTGTTATCTTGGTTGTCTATTTCTTATATTAGTTAGTTTACCAGATAAAATATGAATAGATGTCACATTATCCTTCATTGTGAGACAACAACATATTTCACAGTGCTGAAGTAGGTTGGAGGTTGTCACCAGAAAGAACAGAGGAGATAAGTGCGAGACTGATCTAGTTGATGGTTGAGGAGCTTAGAGAGATTGATACAGGGTTTGAGATTTGGGGGAAGTTATATGGTCAATGGTGAAGATTTAGAGGAGGGGAGCAAGGATATGATGAAGGAACTTGCTGAGTCTTCATAAAGGAGTGGTCTTTTATCTGTTTGTCCTGGTTCAAATCTGATATCCAATCTGATTAAGTCAATCTGGAATTCCAGATTTGATCCATTTATAATTGGATCAAATATGGATCCATCCCTGAGAATCAGAATCCAACAATTTAAAACAAGGTAAATATATCTCTATCACATGGATTTTTGATGTAATGCAACTCTTTTAAGTTGGTTCTTTCAAATGCAAGTCAACCTTCTTACCAGGGTTTTGACGAAGGCGAGAGGTCACTGTTCACCGTCACTGTTCATCGTCTTCTTCATTGAACAGCGGTGGCATTCTCTCTTCTCTCATTGGAATACAAAGCTCTCCGTTTCTTTGAATCTCACGAAGGTCACTTTTCAACGTCACTGTTCATCGCCCTTTTCATTGAACAGCGGCGACATTCTCTCTTCTCTCATCTCCGGCGAGGTTCTGAAAACTCAAACTCACGAAATGGAATCTCACGAAGGCGAGGGGCACTTACAACCGTCACTGTTCATCGCCTTCTTCATTTAACAGCGGTGGCGTTTCTCTCTTCTCTTGTTGGAATACAAAGCTGTCCGTTTCTTTGAATCTCTGGAAGGTCACTGTTCACCGTCACTGTTCATCGCCTTCAATTAACAGCGGCAGCGTTTCTCTCTTCTCTCGTTGGAATACAAAGCTCTCTGTTTCTTTGAATCTCTGGAAGGTCACTGTTCACCGTTACTATTCATTGCCTTCTTCATTGAACAGCGGCGGCGTTGTCTCTTTTCTCATTGGAAATTGATGTTTTTCTTGCTGAAGACTGGTGAGTGTTGGGGATTGAAGAGCTGCTTATAGATGGAAAGGGTGCAGTTTGGGAAAGGTAGGGGAAGTAGGTGGAGAGCGGAGATGTGGTTAAACGCTGGGAGAAGGGGTGTCGGTTTCAGAAGGAATTTTTCATACAAGAAAGTGGCAATGGCGGGTGTCTGGCCAAGCTTTGGAGAAACTATTCAAAGGTCGAATGGAGAGAGGGTGTGGTTAGAAACGACGGAGGAGGGGGTAAGGGTGAGAAGGGTCTTCCTACAAGGATGTCTAGTGGGCTATTTTGATAGGAAGTGTTCGGTAGATTAGATGAATTGGAGGCCTGGATGTTGGAGTAAGGTGGGTGGGGTGAGGGTGAAAAAATTTGTTGAAGATCTGTTTCTGTTCATCTTCCCGTCTAAAGAAGAGGCGGAATGGGTTATTCAGAACGGTCCTTGTGCATGAGGACAAAATAGATTTGCATTGGAGTGGTGGGAGAAAACGATGTTAAACTACAATCCAGAGAAGTTGGGGTCTCTCAGTGAGCCGAAAGAACTTTGGATAAAGGTTTTTAGGCTACTGCTACCCCTGTGGTGTCTGAGTGTTATAGAAGGTATTGGAAATATCTATGGGGGCTTCCTTCGGACGGACGATTCTTTGGAAGAAATTAAGACCTATGAATGGGCTAGAATGAAGGTGAAGGTAGGGGGAGTGATCTCGAAGAAGGTGGAGATTGTGATAGGAGATCTATCTTTCATGGTGTGGAATTGGATGGAGAGGGGTCCGAGGGTGACTAGAAGAGAGGGGGGGGGGAAGAACTGAGGGAGATTGGTGAGGGTGAGAGGGGTTAGGGGCTACAGGAAGAGAGGAAAGATTCGTCAGCAAGTAGAACTCTGGTTCTAGTGGACAATAAAGAGGAAAGCTGCGGAGGGAGGGTATTGTTGGAAAAGGAGAAGGCGGAAGGGGAGAGAAAGATGATTTCACGACCGGAATCTCAGGCGACTCTGTTTTAGTCCGGTTAGGCTGAAAGGGTGGATCCGGAATTTGATCCCGCTTGGGACAACCGTCGGATGGAGATCTCTGTAGAAAATCAGAATAAATTTCAAAATACAAAGGAAGAACAAAGCTGGGCGGGACTTTCAAAAAATTGGGTCAAAGAGACTCTGATGGAATGCCTTCAGGAGTTGAACCTATTGCCAGTTGGGGAATCATTGCAGTAAAAAAAGATGACAATTGGAGGGGAGCTGGGTTGGAGAGAGTGGAGGGGTAGCTAGGGGAGTTCTATCACCTCCGAGAACCCAAAGTGGGACTAGTTCAGGGCGGGCCCAACCCACCATAGCTTGGAGTAACCTGAATTTGAGCTTGGCCCAGAAAACCCAGATTGGGGATGGTGCTTCAGCTCTGTCTGGCCCGAATTGGCTCCAAATGCATCCTCCCCCACCACTTGAAAGTAGCAGAAGTCGTCCTCAATGCTTAGTGGGAAGGGATTAGTTGACACAGAGAAGACGAATGCAGATGCCACATCCAGATGGACAAGATAGGTCGATGATGACTCCTCCGGCATTGCGTGGTATTGGAGATGGTGCTATAATCTTGGCGAATATCTAGGTGCCTGAGGTGGAGTTGGCGGAAATAACACCATTGGCAATGATACGTGGTCAAGAAGCCCAAACTTCTCAGATGTTTTTCAGTCCTCAAGCTGGTGATTACCAGGTATGTTCCTTGGAAGTGGGGAGGGGGGGACTACGGAAAGAGACAGGAATAGGGGTGTGGAGGAAAAATTTGAGGACGGAAAGGGAGGGGTTGGGAAAGAGGGAGATAAGGGTAAAGGGGCAGAAATTACTTCGGCGTGGGTGAATTCCAAGATTTTGGGGCTGGATAAATTCTTGGGGGTGTCTATTGAAAGTATAGAGGAAGAAACATTGAAGTACTTAGAAAAGATTGAAAGGCGATGACTAGAGGAGAAGGGCAAGCTGAATGCAAAAAAAGGTGGAAATGGAGTGAAGAAAAGTAGGGAAATGATGAGGTTGGCGTGGGGATTAAATGACAAAGCGGGAAAGGGACAGGGATCTATAAGAGGGGGAGGGGAGAAGAAAGGTCATTGAAAGGGTGGGGGTTTCTCTAATTTGTTTTATGGATTTAAAAATTCTTTCGTGGAATGTGAGGGGGTTAGGGTCAGGTAGGAGAAGGGTGGTGATTTGCGATCTACTTAAAAGATGGAAATCGGATGTGGTGTTCTTCCAAGAAACCAAATTGGATGCAGTGGAAGCAGAAATAATCAAAAGTTTTTGGGGGGATGACCAAGTAAGGTGGGTGAGTAAATTGGTGAGAGGAAGTGCAGGGGGTATCCTAACGATATGGGACAGATCAAAGTGTAAGCTTGTCTCTTCTCGTGTGTGGGCTTTTACGGTAACAGTAATCCTGGAGTTTAAGGGAGGCTTTCTAGGGCAATTCACTAATGTTTATGGGCCCACAATTAGTGCAGAGAGGGATAGGTTGTGGGAAGACCTGGCTGAAGCAAGAGGGGTGCACTCTATCCCATGGGTAATGGGGGGGAGGGGACTTTAATGTGGTTAGATTCTTGGAGGAAAGAAAGGGTGGAAATAGGCAGACAAGGGACATGAGAAGATTTGCTTTGTGGATGGTTTTGATCTGATTGATCTCCCTTTGTTGGGGGCTCAATATACTTGGACTAATAACCAAGAAACCACGACATTGGTCAAGTTAGATAGATTTCTCATATCTCTGGATTGGGAAGATGCATTTAGCCTCATAAAGCAAGTGGCCCTCCCAAGACCTATTTCGGATCATGCTCCTATCTAGTTGGTGTGTGGAATGCAAAGTCCGAAAAAAAACCCCTTCAAAATGGAAAATATGTGGTTTGAAGAGGAGGGGCCGATTCCCTTGTTGAGCTCTAAATGGACTGAACTGCAGCTAGAAGGTATGAGTTCATTCAAATTTGCTAAGAAAATCAAAGTAGTCAAGGAAACCCTGAAATCTTGCAGACGAGAGTACCGTGGGACATCAGAATCAGAGAAAAAGAGATGCCTTGAAGTGATTAAGGAGCTGGATACAGTTGAGGAATCTGGTCCTCTAATTGAGGAAGATAGAAAGAGAAGAGTGGATGCAAAGGTGTCCATTGGCAGGCTATCTGTTAGAGATGAAATTAAGT